TGGTAGGTAAAGATAGGTCTCAAAGAGAACAGTTATCATGCAAGACAAGCATCGTACACAAGTTCACAGGAACTCACGTTCACACAAACTCATCGTACACACCAGTGTCTTAGACATGAAAACGAGAAAAACAATGAACAATGATTGCACACGCCGGTGGGTATGGCACCCCGACCAGTTTCGACCGCCGCCACGCGGTCCTCCTCAGGGGGGGAAAACCACCTTTCTTCTCCCTCAGCTAACTTCCCACTTCCCGCCTCCGTCGTCTACCTGCGGCATCGTGAGACGCCTGCAGGTGCACAAAACGTCGGACCCAGAAAAGACCAGTAGACGCGACAATCATTAGCTGTATAGTTCACTAGCCTATATGATAGCACTGCGACAAGTAAAATAAAGCAAGTAAGAGTAAAACCTGTAAACTAAAAACAGAACAAAGCCGGTAAAACCGCAATCGGCAAACCTTCGTGAAAGACAGCAGGGTCAAACAGTCCGGTACTACTGATAGTAGACAAAATTCCTAGACGATAGCACCCTGGTTTGAGATCGAACCGCGACACCCTAAAAACTGAAATCAAAAGGTGCGCTTTGTGCACGGGTTCAAGACCAACACCTGGCAGTCGGGCACTAAGATCCAAAAGGCACATACGAAAGGCATAGACAATTGAGCGTCAATATCCAAAACGGGCTATAGTGCGGGGGCTCGAGACCAATACCCGGCAACCGAGCACTAGAATCACAAAGGCACCTACGAAAAAGCAAAGGCTGAGACAAACCCTGTCCCTAGTACGTTAAGGCTAATTATACAATTAACAACCCCTGTCCCTGCATATTACAAAATTTAGCATGCTACCATGCAAATCTGATTCAAACAATTCGGAAAAAAGGAAGGAAAGAAAACATGCTAACATGCAATACAATTGCACACTCCTAAATTACAACTGCTGGGCAGAACACTCCCTGTGTGAGAAGACTAAAAGACTTCAGAACAATACAGAAAAAGAAATGCTAAAAAGAACTACGTGTTCTTAATGTGCGTACGTCCAGCTGGCGTTCTGCACTTCAACCATACAGCCAACGCCAAGTCCAGTTCCAGATCTCATCACGACCCCTCGCAAATCTCTTCAGGATTCTTTCGAGAGAGGTATGAGGAAAGTTCTTAAGCCTCATCTCCCTTTGCAGGCTCAGTACTGTCGCGGGGATGGCCTTCCTATCGTTAGTGTTGTTGTCAATTCGGTGAAGGTAGCTTCCGATAACAGCGCTTTGCTGTTTCTTACTGCACCATGAGTTGTAGGACTGCCACATGGACAGCTCATTTCTCGAAGCTTGGACGCATCTCAGATAGGGGTACACAGTGTTGACACTCATTGTCGTGCCAAGGAAATCCCACTGTCCATCCCCATCATCAGTACGCTTCAAGTTCAGATTACTCGGATAACAGGTTTGAAATTCATCCTGTATCCGACGAGACGACCCGATCCGCTTTCCTCCGCTAAGGATGACGATGCTCACGTCATCCATTAGTCGGATACCGAATACATTCCTCCTCAACACTCCCAGTTCCTACAGAAATCGGAATTCCCCAAATGCACACATCAGACACGCAAGCGGTGGACTGTACTTTTTCCCATGGGAATACCGACCACCTGCTTCAGTATAATTCCCGTCACCTTGGTATATGTGTGCGTCAGTTCCCAACGGACGAAACACCTCATCTGCTCGATGTTAATCGCTCGCCAGTGCTCATCATCAGTCGTTCGGCCAAAGGAGCAACCCTTGCCTCTCGTGTTGACTCTCACCTGCTTTCTTCCTCTACTCAAGTGGTAGTCCGTAGCCCAATCAACAGCAGCAATGATGTCGTCGTGTGGCATAGGATTCTGCTCCGTACACCTGCCACCAGCGATAGAGGTGCGTTTGTCGGCTTCCCCGCCTACCATGGGACAAGTGTTTTTTCCACCTTAGATTCCCTGTCCTACCTGTCTGGCCCACGTATTGGGCTCTGCAGGTTGGTGAAGTAAGGAGGTAAACACCGCTGGTCTGCCCATTGAAGGCACTCACGCCGCGCTGCTGGTGCAATTTCACCCAAGTCGCCACGCACTTCTTCAACCACTTAATCTGATCATTTAAGGCCAAAATTATGATAACGAGACGATAGACAATCTCGACTGCTTCATCAAAAGGTCCACACCTTCTCTCAACGACCAAGGCTCGACATAGCTTCCACTAGTCACTGTTAGTTCACACCTCGCTCTCCTTGTCTCCTTCGGATGCATCGTCTAACTGGGTCTCCTCGACCACCTCTTCGGTAGCATTCCTCACCCCGGTCTCCTCATCAGTGTCGTACGCAACATAGGCTCGCTTCTCGGTGATCGCCAATAGAATATCCATCTTCTTTCCTTCGAAAGCGACTTCCTCGCTTCGACAAATCGCTCTCAGCTCCTCCATGTTAAGACCGCCCAATTGGCGGAGGTTCTCCTGAACGTAGCGCAGCTTCCCGAGTACGCCCGGGGATGCAGGGATCTTCCTGCGTCGAGTGGCGGATCCTGTCCCCAGCGTCTTCTTCTTTGGTGATGGCTTCTTCAAAGGTGGGTGTCGGTAGTTGAGCAACAACTTCTTCGGATCCAACACTCCTCTCTTAGTCGTCCTTTTTACAGGCGTCACCACAGGTGGGCTATCACCCACACCTAGATCAGGTTCGCGTTTACGTTTGTCGTTGATGTTGAGTCGAGTAGTGTGCTCACTAAGTGCTTCGATCTCGCTGTCATCCGAGTAGTAGGAGTCCTCGGAAGCGTATTCCGATAACTTTGCTTTACCCTTCGTGTCTTCATATCTCATCGTATGGAGTAAGCGATCATGTACGCCTTCGCACATGGCGCCCATTTGCTGCTTCATCTCGATATGCAGCTCTTTGCGCAGTGCTTCTCTGGCCTCAATCTCCTTCCTCTTCTTCTCCTCCTTCTTCTTGGCGCGTCGCTCCTTTGCTTGTTGTTCCTCCGCTTCTCGCCTAAGTTGCTCACACGTTCTGCCTCCCGCTTCGCTTCCTCCTTCTTCAGGCGCTCATCCTCCTCTTTACGTGCCTGTTCAACATCAATGAAGTTCTTCATACTGGCGATCGACGAGGTCAACTCCTCCAGTTGTTTGCGGATCACAGGTTCCTCCGAGGAAGATCGTCTGGCGACCAGCCTCGTTACGTGTCCTGGGGAGGTCGATCGTCCTCGTGGTGCACTAGATTCGCCGGCAAGCCTCGGACACTTGTTGGGATAGTGGCCTTGCCTGCCGCATTCGTAACAGGTCACCGGCGCACGGCGAGGTCCATCGCGGTATCCATGGATGCGTATGTCATCGTCGTAGCGATCACGTTGTCCGTCGGCCTCGCTCGCGTCTTGTATCCCAACTACTGTTCCTTCCGTCATCATAGCTACGTTCCCATTCACCACCATGTCCGCACTCCCGATAATCGCGATACCCGGATCCCGACATCGTGGAAGTCAAACCGTATGATCGCGCTGCTCGCGCTAAGAAAGGAGTCTCCTAGTCAGCTGGTCAGCTTCAGTCTTCAGAACATAGAGTCGCAGTATCAATTACAGCAGCGGTAACACTTCAACATGCTCACACTGGTTCGACAGTTTCCGAGCCGGTTCACATGGGCCTTCAGCAGATGGTAGGTAAAGATAGGTCTCAAAGAGAACAGTTATCATGCAAGACAAGCATCGTACACAAGTTCACAGGAACTCACGTTCACACAAACTCATCG